GATTTCAGAACGAAGTTATTGAGGTTTGCAATATTTTAATCCTGCAAAAACTAGTCAGCAAGATTAATGATGCAACTTGCTTTTCCATTCTTGCAGATGAAACAACTGATATTGCAGGTATAGAGCAATTATCGTTATGCGTTCGATATGTCGATAAAGAAAATTTTAACATCACCGAACAGTTTTTGCAATTCATTCCGGTGCATGACTTAACCGGAAAAGCAATAGCAACAACAATATTAGACCAATTACAGTCTATGAAAGTTGATATAAAAAAGTTACGTGGACAGGGGTACGATGGTGCTGCATCAATGAGTGGAAAAATTAATGGTGTACAAGCCCACGTAAGAAGTATTGTCCCATCAGCACTCTATGTACATTGCTCTGCTCATAGCCTCAATTTGGCTGTATCAAATGCATGCGAAATAACTGGCATTAGAAATTGCTTAGGGACAATTAAAACATTATACGACTTTTTAAATACGCCAAAAAGACAGTATGTCCTATCTTCAGCAATAGAGGAGATGGAAACCAGCTCTAAGAGGGAGAAAATTAAACAGCTATGTGCAACCCGTTGGATGGAAAGATACGACTCAGTAACCGCTGTGGTGGAACTTTTCGAGCCTATCGCCGAAACACTACAAAAAATATCAGAATGGAAGGATAAGGAATCAGCTACCCAGGCTAATTCTTTACTGTGCACAGTATCTAATTGCCAGTTCGTAATATCTCTTTTGTGCATTTACAAAGTTTTCACCATAACAATCCATCTCTGTAGATACCTACAAAAAACAAGCATAGATTTGATAGAGGCAGTGAGTCTTGCAGAAGATGTCATTAAAGATCTAAAATTAATGCGTGAAAATGCCACTGAAACATTCTCTGAAATATTCAGCTCTTCTTCTCTTATGCTAACAAGCATTGGATCTTCCACTTCCATGCAAATCCCTAGAATAACAGGAAGACAGAAAAATCGCGATAATTTTCCCTCATCGACACCGGAAACATATTTCAGAGTTAGTGTTTTTATTCCATTTATAGAAAATTTTATAACACAATTAAACTTAAGATTTGTATCGCATCGTGATATTTTGAAAGGATTTCAGTGTCTTCTACCTGCCGATCCTTTCATTTGCCAACCTTCAAACATAAAGGCTTTTGAAGCATTAGTGGAATTTTACGCTGGAGATTTGGATACCTGTAAAGAAAGCCTTAAGTCTGAACTAAAACTCTGGTATAAAAGATTAAAAAGGATTAGTGAAGACGGAGGTAGTGTTCCAAAAACTGCGGCGGATGCTCTTGGAATGTGCAATAAAGATATAACACCAAACATTTTCAAACTCCTAGAAATATTGGTCGTTCTACCTGTTTCAACGAGTGCAAACGAAAGATCCTTTTCGACTTTGCGCCGTTTGAAGACTTATTTACGCAACTCAACGGGAAATAATAGAATGAATGGATTGGCGCTCTTAAGCATTCATAGAAAATTTACCCCAGCTGTCGAAGACATTTTAAACGAACTTGCAAAAAAACCCCGTCGTTTGGATATTACAGTATAAATCAATAAATTTTTAGCGTGTTTGTATACTGGTTTAATTCCCTATTTGTTGGTAAGTCATTTTTTAGTTAAATTCATTGGTTTTCTATGGAATATTCACATTTATATGGTTATTATTTAGGTAGCTGTTACAGTATGAGTAGTTTTTTCTGGCTTGATTTATTCCTACTTTTTAATAAAAATAAAATATTTTACCTCTTATTATAAAAAAAATTATATTCTTAAACTTAAAAAATAAAAACAAAATTTAACTAAACAATGTTGTCGAAATAAAAAGTCAAAATTGTCTAGCTGTCTAAATTAGGGAAGTAATAGTGCTTTATTACATACTCGAATTTCTTTTAGTAATTTCTGAAAATTATGAACCCTCCCCCTTGAAAAAATTCTGCGTACGCCACTGTGCACATGAGAGTGGAATAATATCACCGAACTCAGCTGCGTAGAAGCACAGCACAAGCGGACTCATTTTATCAAGCATGTAAAATGATTTATTACGCTATGGACCGAGAGTACACCTAAATAAAATGTGGTTGAATGAATTGTGAAAACGTTGAATAGAACAATGAGAAAATCATGCTTTCGCATAATGCGTGGCGAAAATCGACAGGGTAAAGAAAAATATCTTCAGTTCGGAAAAGGGAAAATAAAGCACTTTTTAAAAACACCCAATGAAAAAAAGCACCTTTAAGGGCTCTTAAAAACGAAAATAAGCACCTTTAAGCACTTTTTAAAAACGCTACGTATCCTGTAATAGCAGCAAAATAACTTCGGCCCTCAGTGGACCAGCATTCATGAATCTTGGTTCAATAAAGTTTCAAAGGGCTGTTATTTTTCCGATATTGACAGATATCGCATCGGACATAGAATTGATCGATTCACCCGATATTTTACAGCCACTTTATAACCCATATCGGTCTTACATAGAATTGTCAGATTTACCCGATATTTTAGATCCATTATTTAACCATTATAGATTCTATATTGGCCAGTGTAGGCCCTATATAGGGTATTCTAGGACCCATATTAAAAACTGTCAGTGCATGTTTTTATAGGAACCATATTGAGCTAATTTTGAACCCAACTGGGGCCTCGCAAGTTAAGATTGTTGTGGTTTAAACCACTGCATGTTATGTTTATTTATAACATACTATTTTCTAATCTCATTCTAGTTTTCAAATTAAGACATTGTAAATGAACCCGGAGAAGACAGCATCAGTGGCAGTCTAGCACTTGTGATTTTTTTTTTATATTCAAGTACAGATTATTTCCTAGAAAGTTGAGAGTCGAAGTGTTTACAATTCAAAATACAATACAGAACCTCTTATCCGGAAATCAGAATACCGGAACGAAATTTGATGCATTTTCCCGCCATTTTTTAAAAAAAAAAAATTTTTTTTCCTCAAAAGATTTCAGAATTCTTCTTTCTTTTTAAAAATATGTTTACCATCATTTTAGAAATAATCATTAGTTCCCTACACTGTCAAAAGAAGTAAGAGTTTTTTAAAATTATAATAAATACTATATGTATATTTTTTAGTTGAGTTTGACAATAAAAAAAAACGGCTTTTTGTAGCGATTCAGAAAACCGGAAAAATCAGTTATCCGGAATAGCGATGGTTCCAGATAATCGGTTCTCTACTGTAAATATTATATATCATTTAAAGTTCTTGCCAATGATGATTTAATAACTGAATTTCTGGATCAAATAGAAACTGAAAGTAGAGAAAACGATGAGTAAAAAATTTTTTGTTGATTTATGTACAAAATAACTGCAAACATGGATCAGTAGATTTTACGAAATAATATAAATTTCATGATAATTTTTGCATAATGTACTAAATATTTTACACGTAGGGAATTTCAGAAATTTTTATAGTCACCAAAATAGAAAAATTGCAATATTTTCCAGTTAGAATGGATATTAAACATACTTCATGTGTACTCATCACTTCGAATATTAAAAGGCATTTAATTCATCAAAGTTAGTTAAAAGATTTTTTATAGCTAATTTAAAAAGAGTTTTGAGTAAAAATGAACATTTTATAACAAAAAAAGTTGTGAACTGATTTCTATAAATGAGGTTCGCTTCATTATCTATTGGTAGTACTTATTTAAATATTCAAGCAAGCAATAATCTGTAAAAAAATTCTATTTCAATTATTTTATTTTTAGGAAACTTCCCAAATTTTAGGTCATTTTCTAAAATGTACTAAAACTAAGCTCAGTGGCGCGACAACCCATAAAGGGCCAAGCCCCACTGTGCCCATCTCAGTTTTCTTGACTTTGGGCTCTGGGGTACAGGAGAAGATGTTCCGGTTAGGTGGTCAGGCCACTCAGCCACCGGGCGTCTTTTAAAATGTACAAAAAGCAGAATTTTAATTAAACCAGTACTCATTTATCGACCCACTGAAGGGATGAAAGGCTGAGTCAACCTTTGCCCGGCCCGAGGATCGAAGCCAGAACATGTGGCTCGGGAGCGCGAAGCGCTACCACTCAGTCACCGGGCGTCTTTTAAAATGTACAGAAAGCAGAATTTTAATTAAACCAGTAGAAACTGGAAAAATCCAGTAGAGTTAGCAGAAATGTACTTAATCTTACCTTAGTCGGGGGTGTGGGGATTTCAAGCCTAAAATGTTCCAAAAGCTAAATTTTTGGTTTGTCTGAATGAAAAAGTTTATAAGGAACTTGTAGATTTATACCTATATATTTAACACAAGACAATTAAATACACTATCCATAGTTTTGGTAACCTAATGAATACCTCTACTATCTCTATTGCATATTAGAACAAACCTTTAGCAACTTAGTAGAATTTATTTCAGTAACTATAAACCTCGCTTTTATACAGTTGATTGTTAAATACCAAGAGATTAAATTTTGCAAACTTTAATGGATTTCATCCGTACATCCAGACAATTAAAAAAAAAGAAAAAACAATATAGCAGGAAAAAAACGACTTTTGTCAGATTATTTCTTTAGTATGTTAAAGAATCGCCACACATACTTTGACAGTACCTTCAAACAAAATTTTAAGCCACACACAATACTTTAAAAAATTTCAAAATGGCGATCCAATAAACGCATTTCATGTTATTTTTCTAGTGTCAAAAAGTGACCACCTATTCATTTTACTAAAAACCATTTTTATTTTCTAGTTTAAAGACTGTTTTTTGTCACTAGACATGACTGTTAATGTTTTTGCAAAATGGCAGTCAAAACACGCAATTTGTATTCTTTTAGTAAGTCAAAAAGATAACGAGCTAAAAAATGCAATCACTGTCTACAGCAGCAACAACAATGTAATGATCTTACTGGCAGTTTATAAGAAAAGAAACGCTGACTCTAAACATCAGTTTCAATTTTGTTATAAGGAGTTCTCGCAAGCTTTGGTCCAACGTTGGGGAAGTGAAACCAAGACCACAGTATAAAATAAAGACAAATAAAAAGTAAGAAAGCAATCTTTATTTACATTTTCCATAATTACATGATATGATTTATTAAAAATATCTTTTTTTTTAAACTTTTCTTTCTTCTGTTCAATACATATGTAGATTATTCATCCATTGAATTATAATATTATTTACATGATTATATTACACCAGTATCAACACCATGCGGATTATCTTCAAAAACACCAAAAATCACACTAGTTCCTTTTTTTCTCCAAGATAAAAGATTATTTAGTTTCCAAACATGGATGAGAATCTGGCACACAAGGGAATGGATTGCAAATTTTATTCATTAGTTTGTAATATTGAAGAACATGAAAAGTGTACAAAGATCACTCCTGCAATGACCCAGTTTAAGCACTTAAAATGAAAAACACATAACAGAAGATCGATTAAAAACTGTTTTCGACTTTCATTGACAATAGGTGGGAATTTAAATCATGCACATGGTAAACAGTCCAATATTTAACAGAACTGGGTGATATATTGATAATCAAGTTTAGTGATGTAGATATTTTAAGAGGCGTTCTTACTATATCTCCTGAATATCAAGTTTTACAAAAAGCATTGTAACAAATCAATTTTTGATGCATTTATACAAGCACTTGATCTTGTCTAATTGGTGTGTGGGAATTTCAAATCTTAAAATTATTTTTGCGCTGGATTTATTTTTTTAATGACAATTTTAAGTCTTTTTGTTGTAAGAATGTACAAGTTTAAAAGTGTTCTATATAACAGGTGTTGCACAAATGTTGAGACAAACTGCTACAGCAGTATAAATATTGCATAGAAAACCCATGCTTGGAAATGTCAGAAATGCCAATGGCTGCTCATAGCGGCCGGTTAAAAAGCATATAAATTCATAACAGGTAAGCGCCCTTAGCATCATAGGATGGAATTTCTGGGCATAGGTTCCTATGCGATTTTATCCCTGATGGTGTGCCCAAACTTCCTCAGAAGTTTGGCATTAACCTTTAGGCAACCCCACGTCATATGTAACCTTTTTAAAAAAAGCACATTTTAACAAAAATTAAGAATAAAAATATCATTAAAAAAAAACTTGCTTAAAGACAGGGCTCTCACTTATTTTCATAAAAAAAATTCCATGGCTTTTCAAGTAACATCAGGTACATTTCAAAAAAAATCCAGTCCATATTTTATCCATACATTTTATCTATACCCAATTTTTGATCAGAAAATCTGATTTTCTTTTTATTTGTAATGCCAAATATTAGATTTTGTGAGCAGCAACAAAAAAAAAAAATTCTAAAAATCAATGAATGAGTAGGGGAACATGTCAGTTAGACTAAAATGTGAAATTTTTGCAACAAATAATTGTATTAGATTCCATAGTTTCATAACACCAATCTCAATAACTGATTACTGTTGTAGATAGTTCAGACTGGTTATCTTCCAGGCATAATATAGGAATTTTCTAGGTTTTTGTAAAAAATTGCAATTTTTCATATTTCCTGATTTTTGGAGTTAAAATAAAATTCGCAGACATTTCCAGGTTTTCCCTGACTCATAGGAGCCCAGAAAAGAGAGAAACCAGATTTGAAATCAGCTGTCATTATCACCAAGGGGATATTTGTCATTACAAATTAATCTGACAAGTATTAACGACAATACCCAGCTTTGATTCATTTCATTTGGTTAATAAAAACACAGACCAATGTATAAATTTATTTTATGCAACTCACTTAGATTCTGATAATGGAGAAGATAATTATATATGAATATATATAGATAAAATATGTTTAATGCTTTAAAAAACATTAAAACTATTAGGTTAAATAAAAGGTTATTATCGTCTTTAAATACAGAATATTAATTCTTCTCTCAGTCAAGGAAATTTTTTAATTAGAAAATCATGTCCTAATTCAAGGGAAGGACAGGTAAACATTCCAAGTCACCGACACTTAAAATTCAACGAAAACAAAATAATGATTTTCTTTTTTAAGGAGTCAAAGCTATAAAAGAAAGTACTATTAAATTATCTGCATTAATATCCCTTGTGTTCAGAATTTTCAAACTTACAGTCAAATTGTTAAAAACAGATGAAATTTATTAAAAACTGATGAACTCTATTTAAAACAAAAGCTGATGAACAAAACATAACGAAAAATGACTTATTAAACTAATCCTTTACAACACAATAAATCTACATGTATGAAACTTTATACAGAAAAGTTTGTACAATAAAAATGGAAGCAATCATTTCAAAACTCTCTGTCATAAGTGGTGAATGCAGTTCATGCATAAAACACATCTACACATAAATAAATAAAAAACATAACATTGCATTCCACTGTAACGACTAGGACAAATTCTTTTTCTTTCTGGGGCTATATTTACAAGAAATCTTAATAGCACCACAAGCTGTTTACACACTTTGTCAACAAAATTTCTTTTATATCCAAACATGACACAATAAAAAAAAACTTTTTGTTTAAGCAAATTTTGCCTCAATAGTGTCTCAGGATTTATAATAATTAGGACTTTTTTTAACAGGAGAATCATTTTTTGAAGAAAATATATAATTAGCCTTTAATTAACAACACTCTTAAGAATAGGATGACAGCATGAAATTTTATGGGGGAAAGATTTGTTGTCAGATTTATTTCATAATATATTAATAATGAGTATCAAGGCACATTATTGGTTAATAAATGAGAAACCAAATTCTTATGATATGTAATGTTTAATTTACATTAATTACAAACTTCTCAACATCAGTTAACACGGGTATGATATAAAGGTAAAGCACGCAACTCAAACAGAAAATTATTATATAAGGAACTCCAACTCAGATATTGCAATTTCGAAAATATAAAACGTAAATCTTTTTTTTCATTTAACCACATCCCCTTATTATTTTTTAGTAATTGTTTTCAGCCTCAATTTAAATGATACGTAGAAATGAATTACAGTAATGATGAAAGTTAATTAATTATAGCAAAAAAACACTAGTTTCAAATTAGATCTTTTACAAAGGCAACATATTAAATAGCATTTAATAAAAACATGCCTTATTTATATATGCTTTTATCTATCTAAGTTAACATTTGTAAAAAAAAAAATCTATGTAGAATACCTTGAGTAAAAATCAAGAATACCGAAAAACAAAAACATATTCTTTTAAGAATAAAAAAAAAATTAATGCAAATATTTTTTGTGTCCATAGTGCTCATAACATAGCAAGATTTTACTAAGTACAAAAAGTTCAACAAGATTATTTCTAACTGTCAAAAATACTGTTAAATTTAAAACATGTCAATTGTGAATATAAAGCATTTAAAACTTTTTGAATCTCTAAAATTCCAAATAATAAAAAAAAAAGAGTTCTTTCCTAATTGCAACAAGTTAACTTAAAAATCAATGGCTGATCACACGTCGCAAAACGTACCGTTATTGCTTTACACAATGGTGTAGCTACTCCGCAATTTATAAAAACTATTGAATCATTCATTTCCGTTAAGAGCTGCATTTCTTTACATTATAATTTGTAATAGAAGAGCACATTTTCAAAACAATTTTAATCACTTTTGAAAGAGGAAGGGAAAATAAGTGCAGACATCAAATAAAATAAATGCAAGAAACACACTTTACGGGATTCTTCAAAAAGAGTTTGATCGGAAAATAAATATTAAGTATATTTTTCACGTAGCTATTTTAATCCATAGGAAAACTTAACAGAAAAGCTAAAGTATGTGAAAAGCTAAGTCCTTTCTGAATTTTTGGCAAAATCTGATTTCTATTGCTGTCATTGCAGGCAATCTTCAGGTGTCGGCAAATCATCTACAGTTTCAATAACACAAAAAACTTTTCCTTCCCACAAGGGTAAGATGGCTTGGTCATCACACACTTCTTCAAGAACAGTTCCTGTTCCAAACGCATTGTCAACTCTTCTGAAGTAATACCTGAAAATAAAACGATCACTGTAAGAACTTTAGGTCACTTCACTGTCATATTTCTTATCATGAATCAGGGTGTGTAGTCAAATTTTCCAAGAAAATAAAGTATTTTCTAAGCACTTTTCAAGCACTCAAAAGATTATTTTTAAGTACTTTTAAAAACTTCATAACTAAGCAGAGTTGACAAGTTTTTGACAATCGATGGTTTTAACTGTCACAGGGGTGATTGTGAGCCGGTGATCAAAATTCCGGAAAATTTCTTGAGTTAAAAAAAAAAGTTTAAATTCAAAAATTAGAAAAAAATTTAAACCAGGTTTTTTTTAATTTTTCTCAATATTTCTTAGTTTACTTAAAATATATTTAAAATTTTACACATAGCTATACCATTTACACATACCTATGATAACCTGGAGAAGTAATTAAAATTTACAAATATGTCTTTCTTTCTTGAATTTATGATTATAACAACTATTTACAGATAAAAAATGAATATTAATCATATCATGAATGTAAGCTTATAAAGTATCTCACTGGCTCTCCCTTACAAACAAATAAAATAAACTGTGCTTTTAAGTTCTACCTTTGAAAATTTGATTTCCGGAAACTTCAGTGATCAACGATTTTTTGAAACGTTTGGACCTTCCATCTCCGGAAACTCCCGGATCACTGTTAGCTAAAAATCCGGATTTTTTTTCCGGAGCACAATCAGCCCTACTGTCATGTCGATAAAACCCTTTTGACATAGCTCTTAATAATGATAAAAAAAAATTTAAAATTGGCATAAGGATAAATTATTAGCTATTATAAATATGAAGTACATTTAGATTAACAAAGACTTAAAATTACAAGTGTTCCATCAATTATGTTCTTGAATTATTTTAACATAAAACTCTTTTTGTTTTGAAATTCACTGTCAAAAACCCTAATTTTGTTGTACAAAATATTAAATAATAAATAAAATGTGTCAAATTGCAATTTATACAATCCTTAATTTGTTTAATTATTGAAAATAAAAATACAAAAACAATTATCTCACATAACAAAAAAACTCATTTGGAAAGAGGAAAATTATTTTTTAGAAACACCCAATTTAAAAAGTGCCTTTAAGGGCTTTTAAAAAACGAAAATTAAAATGAGCCCCATTTCAGAACTTTTTAAAAACACTACCCTCTCTACGCAGCCTCTGAATACATAGTTGCCAACATGGATAAGAAAAAAATCAAATAGATTTTACAAAATATACATTTCATGATAATTGTTGCATAATGTACTAAATATTTTACACAAGGGGAATTTTAGGGATTTTTATAGTCATCAAACTTCTTTTCAATTATGATTGACATAAAACATGTTTGAAATGGTATGTATATTGTGTTTTTAATTATAATTTCGAATATTAACAGACATTTAATTCATCAAAGATAATTATAAGATTTTTCTTAATTATGAATAAAATATTAATGATATTTTGAATAGAAATAAAGTAAACATTTTAGAACAAAAAAAGTTTTGAACTGATTTTTATAAATATGGTTCACTTCATTATGCATTAGCAATGCAAAATCCAGTAGTCTACAGGAATATCTAGAAGAGTTGGCAGCTATGCATATCCCTGACAAATATACCCACAAAGAAATTAACTTTTAATTAAGAAATTACTTTTTAATTTGAGCACAGATAATTTAAACTACCATTAACCACAACATTAAAATGTAATACTAATTCAATTAAATACAATTAACAGTCATTAACATTAACAGGATATTTTTTCGGTTAAATTTATGTTTTATGCAGAAGGAATCAATTTTTAGTCTTGATTGTTTTTAACGTGCTTACTAAGCCTAGATCGCTTCTCTGGTGACTATTTCAATAAAAATACACATCTTTTTCGCTTAAGATTCATGAGATTACCAGCTTTTTTCCTCTGAGAAGGCAATATTGTTAGAGCTCCCAATCAATCTTTTATTCTTTTTTTTTTTAAATAATAAATTGTGTTCTTTTCAATGATTTAACAAGAACCTAAAATGTAATTTTTTCAAGGACTCATTCACTAATATAGTTAGCATGCTAAAATACATGTCAACCAGATTTTATAATGACGTTGAATCAGAAATTTTATATTTTTAAAGCACAATGCTTAGTTGACAAAATCACCAATTTTACATTGTTTAATCCACAACTAACAATGTAAATGGTTTGATAGTTACATTGCTAGTTTAAATCAGTTAGAAGACAATCAAAAAATTTGGCAACTAACTAAGAACGACACCAGTAAAACTTTTCATGAAAAATTTAATAAACCACATTAGAATAAATTTTTTAAAAAAATAATTGACATTACTAAAGCATTATGATAAATAAATGTTATTGCAAGGATGTCAATTCATATGATGTGTAGACATATGATGCGTAAACTACTTTCATGCAAATCGTTATGTTTGATGCATAATTCACAGAATCAATAACTAACTTTTGCCTATTAGTGGTAAAGTTTAAAAAAAATTATTGATCCTTATTTAAAAACTAAAAGTTAAGTATTAACATAACAATACTAATCCAATGATTATATTTAAATTAGGAGAAACACTGAATATAAAGAGGGCAGTAAAAATATGTTAAAAAATATATATATATATCCGGGAAATTTTGACTTTCTAAACATCGAGAAAGACAATATGATGAGAATAAACATAGGAGAGAAATGTAATCCCTTTTCAAAAATTGGACAACATGATTCAAATTTCTTTATGATTTCACATGAGATATAAATTACATCTATCCCATGATACCACATTTTTGGTCTTGGAGAAGGAAAAATATAGGAATTTCAGTAAGTCCTTTCTATTCTTTTCAAATCAGAAGAAATCTACACATAAGCAAATAAATAAATAAAAAGTTTCAAAAACTGTATATGTTCAAATTAGTGCATGCTACACTGAACATGGTTTTGTTCTCTACTTTCTTTTCACTTTTGGTTTTATCACACCCTACTTGTATTTTGAAATCCAATCACAGTAAATAAATAAGGATCTTTCTTTAAATTTAGATCAGACTAGTAGATTCTCACTTAGCTGACCTTGAACTATTCTTCCTTTAAGAAACAGGTGAAAGAATAAAGTCATTTCAGTGAACAAAATATCTGTCTTTCAAATTTCTGTTGATCAAACAGCTATTAAGCTTTTTTTTCTTTCATACTTTTCCGTAGGAAAGATATCATAATTAATATTTAGAAAATTACTCCGAGAAAATCAAAAACTTTTCAAGGATCCTATCACGAAATTCAAGAACTCTTGAGGTCCTTATGTTTTCCAACAAAATTCAAGAACTTTCAAGTACTGTGGGAACCCTGTTGGTGGGATGCTGATTGTTATTGTCTGGGTACTGATGCACTTTTAATAATTTAATGGAATGGTTTGTGCTTATAAGTGCGTAAATAAAGATGTTTTTTTTTTTAAAAGTACTTAGTGATTTGTTTTAAACGATATTATATAAGCTGAAGATTGTTTTGAGAATTCAGCAAATCACTGTTTCATATTAGCAAATAGCAATATCGTTTTCAATTAGCCTGATAAACCAACATCTAAGAAGCAAGATACGCAGTATTAAAAATTACAGCTGAGTCATTTAAATGCAATCAAGAGGTAAACTTTTAAATTTATAGCACATCAGAGAAAAAAATTCAAATTCTTTAAGTTGAAATCATTGGAATCATTGAAAGAAATGGCAAAGTTAATAAAGATAAAATATGAATCAAAACTCTTTTGTGTCCTAATATCTTAAAATATGATAGGTTTACGAGCAAGAAAAAATTAATTTTTTTATGAAGCCTTTCATTGTGTACACCCAAAAAACTTCCAAGAATATAGTTTAACTAGTTTCTCAAAAGTTGGACTTAACTTAACAGTTGGACTTAACTTAAAATTTAACTTAAAGCAAAAGACTTCTAATTTTCAAATTTAAAAAATAATAATAATAAATAATATATATATACATAAATAATATTATTTAAATAACAATTATTTGACATTCTTAAAAAATGAAAAGATAGATTACAATTATAGAAGAGTGCTTACTTGAAATTTCCTTTCTTGGTGAGGAGTGATTTGAAATTCCTGAGAGTGATGCTCCTTCCATGAAACCTTGTCAGATATGGCACTGATTGTTGTCCATAAGAATATCCAATCACTATTGTTTCATCCTTCTTACTCTGCTTCCTATTAACATTCACACTCATAAATCTCACTGAATAAACATCCCTTTTATTTAAAACAACCTGATTTCTTTTGTGAATTAATCTCATGTTATAACTTAATTTATATTATTTATTAACAAACTGGTAAATTCTTTATTAATGGTGATGGCGCATCCATAGACTGAGGCAACAACCTCTGTGATCTTGTTTGGATCGAGTAGCTCTACGTCAAAGGGAGGGTATTATATAACGAGAATCAGGGGGCATAAAATAGCAAGCGGTGTATCTGGGCAATTGTTGCAAGGCTCCGTTGATTCTCATGACCCTGAAGTGCCCAGATCTTAAATATTTAATGGTTTTCCCCCTTTAGTCTTTTCCACTTTACATTTAAAAGACTCATGCTAAGGATTTTAAATTATTAATCAAATATCAAAAGTTTTTGCCAATTTTCGAAAGTCTTTGCCAGATGCAAATCTTAACAATTTTTTATGATGAATTTTTTACCCATATAAAATTATTTTGAGGTAGTTTGCTTTAGGGTAAAATTTTTTGGACCCAATTCTAATTGGTTATGTGACGCGTCTAACGAAAATTACTGTAACCGATTAAAAAATACTGATTTGTTTAGAAAAATTCATTTTGATGTAATTTTGAGGATCAATATTTTTCTTTCCAGTGGAAAAAATCATTCGCTTAAATACAATTTCATTTGCCAAATTTATGATTTTATCGCATTTGACGAGGTGGCGAATGCTTAGCAGAAACCCTGAGGCACTGCAGCTAATTTTTCATCACATATTTCTTTTTGAAGTAAATACGGAGAAGAAAAAATAGGGGGGAAATTTTTTTAAGCAAACAAATTCGGAGAAATTGCTGAAACTCATTCTTAAAACATCTCTTTAAGCTGTTTCTAATAAAATTAAAAAGCTGAATTGATAAAACACTGCAAGCAAAGAACAAAAAGTAAAGAATTTTTTTTCTTCTGTTACTTGTTGGCAACTTCTTTCATTTATTTTGAACAACTTAAAGTCTTTATGAACAATTTCTAAGGACCTTATATTTGCAAATTTTGCTACCTTTGTCTTACCTCTGTGAAGCAACACATTCTGTTACAATTCAAATTTGTGCTGTGTAACCATACCGTAAGTTTTGCTTCTGGGGTGGACAATACAAAATGCATTCCACAGCGTCTTTCTTTTTTTAAAGCTTACTTTAAGGAAAGTATATTCCAGTGAATAAATAAATGGTGCCACCACTTGCTATTTTTTTTCCATTGACATTCAATTTCCATATTCAACTGCATCTCTAATATATATTTTTATAAAGTTAAACTAATAACTTAAAAAATAATCTACGCGAAAGATAAAATATCTTTACTTAACAAAATTCAGCAATAATAATTTTCCTCCCCACACACCATGATGTAATTCTTTTTCTACTATTCAAAACACTTCCCCCTCCATTAAAGGTATTTTAATTTATACAAATAGGACTGCCAACATTAGACTGTGCATACACCACAATTTACTACATAAAGGTGAAATTTTGAAGCAGCTAGGGTAAGTCAACTTCTTTGTAGAATATGTTGTCCGATTTGAAATTTTCTTATTTAGTAGCATATTTTTAATTTTTAGAGAAAAAATTACTTATTTTAAAAATAATTTTTGGGGGAAATTTATAAAATGCAAAAAATTAAAAAGTATTTGAAAAAACTACTAACACTACCAGAAAATCTAGTAAAGCATAGTGTAGAAATGAATTATTAACTTTACCTTTGTGATAGGCCTTCTTCAAAAGTATCGGAAGCACGAAACGATTGACGAAGCCGGGGGGTACCAGATGTATGCCTGTTAGGGTTAGGAAAAACATAATTAGCAAAATACAGATGCACACAAGACAAGGCAATTATTCCAGTATATAAATTTAACCTAGGATATTTACATTCATGAATATACAACTATTTCTTTGTCTAAATTGCAATGAAAATTTCATAAACATGTAATATTTTTAGTTCAATAACACATAATTTGACATTTAATGAACGTAAATTTCAGTTTTCAAAGTAAAATTGTTCAACATTTAAAAAATACTACAATAGTGAGGGTTACTTTCGACAACACACACGTAAAATTTATAATTATCAAAAAAATTAATTCAGAACAACAATTTTCAACATTTCCAGTACTTAATTGTTTGCAAGCTTTAACACCAATGAAAAACAGACAATTTAATTAACATATATCAGCAAATCAGAATAATACTTACACACAAAAGTGATTAAAAATATTAGTAAAAATAACAAATATATATTATAAAATTACTTATTTCAATTTAACTTTAACAAAAAAATTCTTTTCTTACTTTGTAAGCATTATATTTTATAAATGTACAAAATTTAGTACTTAAAACGCATTATTCTAAGCATAGAGTATTAGAAATAAAATTATATAGATTTTTAGTTTGTGTTGACTCTGCACATTTCAAGTGCATTAACATTATCATCAGAACTTTTTACCACGGGAAAGGATTAAATCATTACAACAAGATCCCACTCAATTCTTTAAAAAAAATTCAAGGACTTTTGAATGACTTTCAAGCACTTAAAATCAAATTTTTCAAGGACCTATTCAGTATTTCAATTATATGCTAAATTACATGTCAACTATATTTTACGATTACGTAGAAGCAGAAATTGTATATTTTTAAAGCACAATACTTATTTGAGAACCAAAATTTTTTTTTATTAAATTTATCATCTAATAATACAAATGGTTGATAGCTGCATTGCTATTTCAAATCACTTTAAAAAATTCCAAATGAACTTTAAAAAATTCCAGCTGAGTGTGATTCTTAAATCATTTTGATGAGAATTACAAGTGGCAATTCTTAAATCTTTCTTTTGTGATTGCGATGGGTGATTTGTAAACTGTTAGAATGAAAATTGTGAGGCATGATTATTAAAAAATTCTTAAATTACTTAATTACGTATCACGTTATATGATTCAGAAATAACTTTAATTGAAATCATGATGTGTGAATCCTGATGAGTAATTTGCAAATCACTTTAAAGTAATATTCGATTTGTCATTCATTAATCACTTTCATCTAAATGGCAATTTGTTGTACATTTAATATGAATTCTGATCCGTAAATCAAGAATCAGTTTAATGTGAATCACGATGTTTATTTATGATCAATGAAACCTGTAGAACTAAATTTTATTTATTAGCAGTAAAAACTAAATGTAAAAATTTGATTATAAATTATTTAAGATTAATTATCCTTCGTACGTAAATTGAAAGAACAAATAGGATAACAATATTAACCAGTTGCAATAACGAAGTAACATAACGAAGTGAACATATTTCTAAACCGATAAAACACTATATATCATTCGAAAACTATGGCTACAAAACCTAAACTTTACTAGAAATTTCAGCTCTCAAAACATCAGAGAGATGAACAATAATCTGGAGTGAAAGATTTAGGAGAGAAAAGTTTTGCATCTTTTTTAACCCCTTTTCACTTCAAGCATTAAAAATTGCATCGATCAGAATTTCTATAATTTTCTTTTGAATTTATTTATCATTTTTTTACTGCTTTTTTGTGAGAAAGATTAGTATTACTTTAATTCCTAAAAAATCAAGTACTTTTCAAGAACCTTATGGCAGTATTCAAGGACTTTTCAGGACCCTGATTTTTTTTCAACAAAATTCAAGGACTTTCAAGGTTTCTCAAGTATCGTGGGAATCCTGTAAAACTCGATGATTTTGATGATGAATCTCGATTTTAGAAACGAAAATACCTTTGAATAGTTTGCAGAAATAAGATTACTCTTATTATTATAGGGTAAATAAATTCAGAGTACATGATCAAAATAAATTTTAAAAGTAATGCTCTCAACCCACTCAATCTAAACGAAAACCAAGTGATGCGATCTCCTTTGCAGGAAATTTTTAAGCCCTGTCAGCATAACCAATAGCAGAAAGTCTTGAATCTGATGTAGGTTGTTTTCATTGTTCATTTCCAAAAGTAGCAGCGATCACACAATGGGGAAACTGATTCTTTGTGCACAAGAAAAGTTGGCAGCCATGCATTTTCATTTTTCATAAAGGATTTTTATGATAAAAAAATATTTGCCTTCTTTGTACTATGAATTGTATGGACTTTTAAGAAACATTTTACTTAATTATTTAGATGAAGATTTGTTACATAATGATATGATAAAAAAAACACGTAGACAGATTATTTTGGAACAGTGTTCTATACAGAATTGCTTCTTAATACTTGTTGATTGTATTGTATCAGATTGATTTAAGTTAACTTTTTTTTAAGGAAAGAAATTCATTGATTACCCTTTCTTGACTTTGCAGATAAAAAATGAAAGAAATACCTAGATTTTCCTATCTTTTTATCATCTTCCAGCCTTCGCCTCGCTTCAATCAGATTGGTGGTTGTGTCTGGCCTGAAGGATGTGGTGAGATCTTGAGCTGTTGGTTGAGGTTGCATCACAGTTGCCCTTGACACAAAAGTCAGAGAGTTATGCATAACACTCTCTCCACGATACAGAATTTTCTGGCCATAACTGAAAACGGAACGAGACTTATTAACTTAATTTATACCCCCAAACAATATAGACACAAATAAGTACTCAACCTAATTCCATGGTGACTGGTGTTACATTTTGGTTTTCGCATTTTAAACCTTTTTTTTTAAAAATCAATGAACATTTAATAATTTTATAGAAGAGCCTAAAATAATTATGCATACAAGAAAAAGGGATGAAAATAATAAACGTTTTATTTACAATAAAAATCTAAAAGCCTTACTGATGTTACACATAAAAAAAAAAATAGGGAGTAAAAAAATTTGAAAGTCTTCGACCATAAGCAATAATTTAAGTATTTCTTAAAATTAATTCAGAAAATGCTTTGAATAAAAAGGAAACATTGAAAGCACACCTGAATTGATTAGCAATTGATTCAGTAATTATGTAGTAAACGAAGCATTCAAACCAAAACTGCCTAGTTATCCTTTTAAGAGATAAAACACAATTTTTCTTTTCATACATGTTCTAATTTATAATGTTGATTAGGTCATTTAAAATAATACTTCACTAAAGATAAGGTAAAACAAGTATCACTGAAAACTGAACAGTATATTTGTTAAAGAGTTTAAAAATGAAATATCAGATTCAACAAATAATATGAAATAATCAATAATTAACAAGTAATATTGCATTATTGTGTTCCTAATGAGTATTAAGTTTAAAATGAAGTGACTTGTGAGGAAAATTAAGAATCCCACAGGGCATAACTTTTTTTTGTGTGGAATCCACAATGTCTTTCATATTCTTTAATTAGCAGAATCACTGCTTATAAGTTTAAAATGCATTAATTGATAACATAAAATTATAAAACAGTACAACATAAAAAACCTAATTTTTTTATATTTTAAACAAAATATAAGTAAAGGAAATAAATACTGCAATGCCTAATTGTCAGCATATTTTGGGATATTAATGCACAGTTTAATTTTATTTGTTTCAGTAAAAAAACACTGAAAAATAATGTTTGACAAGTAATGGGGAAAAATTACCTCTTGAAGATAAAAATCAATCTGTATCAATCAATTAACATACAAATATTTTATTTCACTTTTCTTTTTTTTTTAGTTTGACTCAATCTTGTCCTGAAGCTTAACTAAATCTGAAGTGTTGATCATTGATTTAGTTCTCATTGATTTAGTTCTATCAGTATTTCACATGCATATTTCTGAAAGCCATTTTACTGCATATAGTGAAATAGGTTGTTTTTTTTTATTTTCTAATATTTAGCTGCATGTAAACTACTGATAGAACTAAATCAATGACTGCACTTCAGATTTCGCTAAGTTTCTTGGAATTGCTTATTTAATATTAATCGATATATTAAAAATTAAAAGTGTTTGTCAACTGATGATCAAATTTTTTATATTGATTTTATTTAATTGCTTTAGATTTAATTACCTTCGATTCAGAACAGGTGAGGTAGAGGAGATTTTCATTTCTTTATCATTTTCAGGCAAACACCGTTTGCTTTCCAGCCAATGTGCCATCCTTAGGAAGAAGATAAAAAAGGTAGTATTAACATTTGCTATCAGATTTAAAAAAATAAAATTCATCACGGCAAGCTAAAGAAAAATACTTTTCTAATAACATGAAATTTGAATTTACACTTCTGTAAAACACTACTGCCCACATCTATTCTTTTGCTGCATTGTTTGCTATTGTTTTATCGTATTTAAGAAATATTTAAATTCAATAAATCTAGATACCAATTTTGATTTCAAGTTTATGAAATTTTAAACACTTTTTATTTATTATAAATTTTTTGGTGATATCCTCAGGTCATATGGGTTTTAAAAAAAAGATTTAGTTAAAAAAATAAAAAGAAAAAATGTAATTCTCAAAAAAAAAAAAAAAAAAAAAAAAAAAAAAAAAAAAAAAAAAAAAAANAAAACTCTAATAATGAAATGATTCGCAATCATACATTCACTATTGAAATAAAAAAGTACAGTAGGGAACCAATTATCCGAAACGATCGGGACCATCGCTATTCCAGATAGCTGAATCTCTACAAAAAGCAGTTTTTTTTTATTGTTAAACCCAACTAAAAAAAATAATATTTGGAAACAATCTTAAAAAGAAAAAATTATTAAGTAATACACTAATGATTATTTCCAAAATGATGGTAAGGTAAAAATCTTATGAGGAAAACAATGAGGAAATGATTGATTATTACGAGGAAATCCTAAAATCTTATGAGGAAAAAAACATTTTTTTAAAAAAATGGCGGGAAAATTTATCGAATTTCGTTCCGGTTTTTTGATTTTCCAGTTTTCTGATTTCCGGATAACGGGTTCTGTACTGTATATTATATTAATTTAAGTATATGTTTCAATAGTAAATAGTGTATTTTTAAGAGTGCGATACTTGCGTGACAAAGTACTTTTGATACAGTATTGTATGTGTGGTTTAAATTTGGTACAACCAAAACCCAAATATTTACCAAAAGAACACAGAGACTGACTCTGGTTTCTGCGTAGATCCTATGCAGTTTCGCCAGTTACTACAGGAATCAACCCATTCTACAGGAAGGCCTGTTTGTTTTTTGTTTTTTTTGTTTTGTTTTTTTTTGTTTCTATGATTATTTCCTTATAGTTTTTGAAATTTCAGTACATTTAATATGATATTACGAAACACAATTTTCAAATAAGTTATTACTTTTTGACAAGCCCGATTCACAAAATTTCCATCGTAAATCGATGGCTTCCAATCCTTTATTGGCAACCTTTTATCATTTTTAAGCCATGTTTCTAAAGTTCATCAAATTCTGATATACTAAATACAGCATTTAATTTACACATATAGATATTCACTCTTGGAAACAAATTTCCATCATAAGTTTATGTCTTTTCCAATGATTTTTTTAGTCATTTCCACAAGATTTTTCGAATCCCAATATTTTTAAAACAGTAATATTTTGAAGCATGAATTTTAAATTTGAATTATCACCTTTCGGCACACCAAATTCGTGCCAGTTTCATTGTAAATATAAGCTGTTCTCCAAATTAAAAAAATTATTACAATAACATTTTGACACACTAATTTTGGATTTGAGTAGTCACTTTTCATACACTCAACTAGAGATAATTTCACCACAAATCAACATAGGTTCCCTATCATTTTTAGCAGTTGTTACAGATTTATAGTTTTTCAAAAGTTATATATCATTTATAGGCAATTACAGTTACTTAGGGTGGGATTGGCAATTTCTACCTAGTTGTTAATATTTTAAATACAATATTATTATAACACATAAAACTTTTAAAACATAAACAAAATTGGCTAATATTTAATTCTTAAATTGCTAAAACACATTTTGTTGTAAAACTACATAAAGGGCTTCAAAACTACAGAAAATTTTCATGGTTACTACTGAAAGTTCTGACCACTGGTCAAAGTTTGTGAGAATACTTGCTTTTGTGTATTGAATGTGTTTGCAACTAAAATCAAGAAAAACATTTGATCCAACAATGAGAACAATAAACAACAATAACTTGTCGAGTCATTTGCAAAGTATTTTAAAATTTTATGTTCGTGGAACAAAGAAGACATGTTTAAGATGAGACTACTCATTTTCACAAATTTCTACCTTCCTATGATCAATAAAATTCTGGTATTTATCAGAACAAAACTTACTTGAGACTTGAAGCATGGGGCTCATAAACTTCACTGATACCACTATCTTCAAAACTGGTTGTTGACTTAAAGATGGGACCAGTCTTTCGAAGTGACCTTCTAGATTGATCTTTAGAGGAAGAACGACCGAAAGGCTGTTTTTGATACACAAGGTTCTCGTGAGAGCGAGCAGCCAAATTGTCTTCGGATATCCATTCTGTTACAGCCCCACTGTCGCTTGAACGCGTATCACGCTCCTGTGTGAAAAAAAATTCATTTCATTGATCAGAAATTTAATATTCAAAAAAGCTGAACTTTGCGCACTAATACACAAAACATTTCATTAATCAAAATACCAATAATTTTTAATACAGCACAAAATCAGGGCAGGAAGTCCAAAATATAAAAATTAAGTACAATTTAAGGATTCTGTAATGGGAGTCATTCGTAATACAGATTTAGAATTGGTAATAGTTTTAGTAGTTCCCGCACTTAAAGTGAAAAAAGGAACTTTTTAAAATAAAACAGAGTTTTTTTTAAAAAAAAGTTACAAATTTTTTTTTTATGGAAAAAAAAAGAGAAAATAGTCTAAATATGATAATTAGTTAAGTAGTAACAAAATACCAGGACTCACTCAAAATACCAGTAGAGTATGATATAGTGATAAGGAAGAAGTAGAATAATAAAAACTTTTTACATATTTCTCCCACATTGAATGCTTTTATACCATCAAATCAAGTGTCATTGTCTCTAATTCTGGAAGTAGATTAATATACGTGCTATGAAAATTGTCGCTCATTTTGTTACTCACTTTGTTTCATGGCAAATATATTCAATTCTTTTTTAAATTTACTTTCTTTAAAATTGACTTTCTTCAAAAGTTTTTCTTTCGACAAAACTTTTTCTTCCTGTTAACTTCAACAAAAATTTGGAAAAAATCCCATTCATTGTAATGTTTAATAATTAAGGACATTTTATTTTTTTAAGCAAATTAAGAACAACTGAGTCCTGAAAATATTTTAATTGTCATAGAATTTAATTCAAAGAACTAAAAGCGTAACGCCTCTGCAGTCGAAAACCTTCAATGAGCCTTCATTCCCATCATTTCAAATTAAGCATTATTGAAATAAACAATTAAAAATAAAGGTAGAAATCAGAATTCATTCAGCTATAATGAGGATTTATTCCTGCAGGAAATCCCCTCCATGAAATATTAATATTGACATCATTTCAAATGAGGCACAATCAAATGAGGAATTATCATCCAGTTATCATGAAGTCAACTTTTATAATGTTAAGTGTATAAAAAGATAGTTCTAAACACGGATTGCATGATCTTCCAAAGTGAAAAACTGCTTTGGAGGAAATAGTAGAAACAGATATTTCATAATCAAATTGTGCATAAGTTTATCAAACAGCTTTAAATATATATTTTAATATCACATCTGTATTCACATTTAGAGAAATCAGAAAATCACTGTCTTTTACAGAGATATAATATTGAAAACGATGAATTATTTGAAATCGTTCACAAACGAAACTTATCAGGGTGCGTAGTTAAATCTTTCACAAAATATTAGCACTTATATACATTAACAAAATGCAAAATAATTTTCAAAGACTTTACATGATCATGATAAAATAACTAGTTCAAACATGATCATGACTTTACATGATCATGATTCAAAGAATTGCTTCTTTGATTATACTAGCCACCATAGAAAGATCGAGATATTTTTCAGTTCGATTTCAGAGGGTGGAAAATGAAGCCTGAATTTGAGAATATCTTGCAAAATACAACACAGTTGCACGCAAGAGTGCAAGAATTTAGATGGTCGCAAAATCAACGCTGTATAGAAAAATTCTCAATTGGGAAAAGAAAAATTCTGCACTTTTTAAAAACAGGCAACGAAAAAAGCACCTTTAAGGGCTTTTATAAAACAAAAATCGAATAAGCACCTTTAAGTACGTTTCAAAAATGCTATGCACCATGTATATTACTGATGGTAGATGGCAGAATTAAAGAATTTTTTTCAACTAAAAGGAACACAAATAAATACCTATTAGATTGATGAATATTCTTTACTTGAGCATATAATTAATTATAAATGTTATTTCTGCTTTAATTAAAAGTCATAATTGTATACTTTTAAATAAATCACACTGACTTTCTACCTATGACAATTTTTAACATGCTCCAACTGTATTTTATTTTATTTAAAATACCTTACCTGCTTTTGTTTAGGATTTCCAATCACTGAAAATGGTGAAACTAGACTAGATTTCTGATAGTTTGTATAAGATAAATCCTGAGGTCCGAGTAAAGACGTTCCAGGTAAGACATCGACCGGCGGTCGAGCAGCAGGTGGGGAAACACAGACAGGAGATAATACTGGGGTCTGGCCCAGATCCTCAAATACCCTGGACACATGCCTGTCCAATATATCTTGATCATTATCCTCTGATGACGCAAACAAATCAAATACTGAAGATTCTATTTTACACTGATTTGCATTACTAGTACATCCACTTGCCCCAGGACGAGAAGGATCAGGTGACTAAAAAATGGAAAATCTGTAAGTTGCATGAAAACCCATTATTCCACAATAAAAATTAGTAATTTTTTTAAACTTCTCAGGGGTCTGTCCAGACATTTTGTGAAAAGTCCGCTTTTGTAAAATTGTGAAAAAATTACTCGTAATTTGTGAATATGAAATAAACGTTAAGTCACATTCTTTCAACCAGGATTCTGCTTTAGTGAATTTGTGCAAATAGGGCCCTGTTGTTGCAAAGTCTTTTTTTTTTGTCAAGACATACAAGATTATGCTCAACACTATAAAATTAAAATTAAAATAATTAAATTTTAAAAAATAAACAGCAATTGCAGCTACTAAATTACAGATGCAACATACAAATATTTGGTATTTAGCCTATACTGCTGAACGCAGAATATTCATGTCAGATGAATAATGGAAGAAGTTTCTGCAGAAGACAAAACTTAGTTCAATTACACTTGTCTTTCTTTCCCCTCGTTCTGGGAAGGGTTTATTCTATTAACAAAACAATAATGAAGATAAATAAATTTGTGAAGGGTTCGTTTTTAAGTTAGTGAAGGGTCCATTTCTTTGATTCCCAAATTTCTTCTAAACAGACCCCTGCTTCTAAACCACTTCTTCTCATATTGATACTTCTATACCTGCTTTTTTTTTAAAACACAGAAGATTTTCTATAAAATCACATAAAAAGCAGATAATTTTATGTTCTTCTAATTTTTATAGATTTTAAATATAATCAATTCAAATAAGAGAAAAATATTATCCCTTTTTTTGCACTATAGGGTGCTTATTTTTTGTATTCATTTATAACTCATAACATGAATTAGACAGAAGCGAAAATTAATGAGGAACATTTTCAATTCAATTTACTGGAATATCTTTGGTTCAAAAGATTAATTAAAAGAAAATTAGAGTTAACTGCAGAAAAATTGGCATTTATGCACATGTAATAATGTTTCTCTTTACATTTTGTAGAGTTTAAGCCAGCAGGTCTGTTTTGAATTTCAGAAAATAAACATTTCTTACCTCCACAGAATTTATCTTTTCCACTACTTTTTCTTTANAATTGAGTGAATAGGAATTGCTAGTACGATTTTTAAATCGCGTAAAAAAATTGCAACACGTAAGTTTTAAATCAGTTAAATGCAAAAATCGATGATTGATATTAAAATCGTTTGATTAGAAATCGCGATTTTAGCAAATTCCGGTTCAGTTTCTAATATTTAAAATTATAAAAATCAGCCAAAAAAAATAATAAAAATCAAATATCGGCGCTCGTAACGAAACGCTTAGACTCCTTTTCACTCTATAGCAGAAGTCGCGGCAATCCGACTATCGTTCGGGCGGCTTGGGTTTCTCCAATAGGACTTCCCAAAAATGTTAGTTTTTGGAACATGGTCGGAAATTTTCAAAATTGGGAAAAATAGCGGATTTCCGCTTTTTCGTGGAAGTCTTTCATCCCTGCAACACATAATTTTTAAACAAGTCTAATACGAAGATCGATGATTGATATTAAAATTGCCTGAATAAGAATCGAGATTTTGTCTGAATCTGGCGCAGTTCCCAATATTTAAAATTCCTAAAATCAGCCAAACATACATAAAATCCTAAAATCAAACAATACGTGTCATCATCTGAAAGACGGGGAAGTCATTCTCTCACACTTACGGAAATAGGGCTGCTGGAAATAGGATACTGGAAATAGGGCTGCTTTCCTGAGTTTTCGATATTTTTCAAGGTCATTTCGAAATTTTCAAGGATTTAATATCATTTTCAAGTACTTCTAGGGGCCCTTGAAAATCAAAATGAAATTCAAGTACTTTTCAAGGCTTTTTCAAGGCCGCGGGAACCCTGTTTAGTGAATTTGTGCAAATAGGGCCCTGTTATTGCAAAAACTTTTTTTTTTCGCCAAGACATACAAGATTATGCTCAACACTGTAAAATTAAAATAATTAAATTTTAAAAAATAAACAGCAATTGCAGCTACTAAATTACAGATGCAACATACAAATATTTGGTATTTAGCCTATACTGCTGAACGCAGAATATTCATGTCGGACGAATAATGGAAGAAGTTTCTGCAGAAGACAAAACTTAGTTCAATTACGTTTGTCTTTCTTTCCCCTCGTTCTGGGAAGGGTTTATTCGATTAACAAAACAATAATGAAGATAAATAAATTTGTGAAGGGTCCGTTTTTAAGTTAAAATATTTAGTGAAGGGTCCGTTTCTTTGATTCCCAAATTTCTTCTAAACAGACCCCTGCTTCTTAACCACTTCTTCTCATATTGATACTTCTATACCTGCTTTTTTTTTAAAACACAGAAGATTTTCTATAAAATCACATAAAAAGCAGATAATTTTATGTTCTTCTAATTTTTATAGATTTTAAATATAATCAATTCAAATAAGAGAAAAATATTATCCCTTTTTTTGCACTATAGGGTGCTTATTTTTTGTATTCATTTATAACTCATAACATGAATTAGACAGAAGCGAAAATTAATGAGGAACATTTTCAATTCAATTTACTGGAATATCTTTGGTTCAAAAGATTAATTAAAAGAAAATTAGAGTTAACTGCAGAAAAATTGGCATTTATGCACATGTAATAATGTTTCTCTTTACATTTTGTAGAGTTTAAGCCAGCAGGTCTGTTTTGAATTTCAGAAAATAAACATTTCTTACCTCCACAGAATTTATCTTTTCCACTACTTTTTCTTTATTTTTCCTTTCTTCACAAACCTTATTCAGTTTTAATATAAGCTCTTGATGAAAATCAGATGGATTTCTCGTTGTTTCAACACCCTGTTTACGTTGAGTTATCTAAAAAAAAAATTTTAAAAATCATAAACACAATCTAAATATATTTCTTTAATTCTCTTTAAATTCTCTCTTATGGGTAAAAAGAATAAATCTAAGACTGAAAGCACACGCTTTTAAATTTCTTTAACAATCGATCACTCTATTTAAAGAATCAAAACAGTTTAACATTCTTCAAACCTGAAAGTTGTATAAAAAAAAGAAAAAAATACTTACAGATACAAAATCTTTAGGTAGTTCATGCAAATTATCTGTATTTATAGGATATTTTTTCCCATCCAGTAGTCGTTTTGGTTTATTCCTTGACATAGAATAATCACTGTAAAATAATCACTATTTAGAACACACATTTAAAGACATACACACACATAAAATCTATGCTTGAGAGCATAATCTGTCCTAAAATTTATTGTATTCAAAATACTTATGTAGCGATTCTTAAAGCACCAGATGACGCTTTTAACTAAATTATGATATTAGTAAAGCACACAAGCCAAGCACAGCAGAAAAACAAGTGCTAGAAATTTTGTGATAAAACAGATTATTAATTTATTTTCAGTTAGGCATAAAAAAACAACGTAAGTGCTTCATGATTGATTCCAAGAAAAGTGACCTGACAACTTTTCTCCTTCTATTGCTAAAGCTATGCACACTAAAATAGAATTTCAAAAAAACTGATCGGAAAAAAAAAATTTTATACTTTTTTAGCAATATGTAGCTTACCTTACATCCCATAAATATAAAAATCTTAATTTTGAATTTTTCTTCGCTTACGTCAATCTTTCAATTGCAATGTAGTGCACTGGTTCTGGGTATAATGAATTAGTATACTTTATCGAGCGGGACACCCGTGTGCTCAGCTGTCCGGCATAGTGCTAATGGGACAGTTATTATTTGTTACATAAAAAAAGTATTACTCAAGCACAAATACTATCGAAAACAAAAAACTGTCTTATTTCATTCAGTGTTTTAATAGTTTCCAAAAATTTGCCTATATATGAGATTATATTATACACCTGTTAAATAAAAAAATAAAATAAATAATTAAATTTTCTTTAATCTCTTAAAACAGTCCATAATAACAATCCAGTTGAAATAATTAAAGCTTTGCATTTAAAAATGATATTAAATTAGTTTAGTAGAAATTAAAAAAGCAAGAACTGGGAAGGAAAATTAATATTCTACCAAATTTAAGACTATAACTCTTCAATATTTTGCATTAAGGACCTAGTTTAAAATGTGTCAATTAATAATATTATTGAATTTCATCAATATAATGTCGAATAAAAATGCCAGAAACTTCAATAACAGCATTTTTTTCCTTCAGAATATTACTTGGTCTTTCACTGAGTGTTTCATTTCTTATACGATACAGTTTTGCTACTTACTGTAATTATGTATTTTAAAGAAACTGTCAATGAAAACAGTGATAACTTACACACTACTGTCACAATTAGACATTGTATCGTCTGTCTGAGCACCAGAAGATATGCTTTGTAATTCGCTATCTTGCACAGAAGTAGGTAAGCATGTACCATATCTGGCATGATATGAACTGTAATTCACAGAGTAAGGAGACTTTATTATTGATCTGAAAATGCACACACATTAGAAAATACAAGGTTTGGTATGTTTTTTATAACAGTTTACAAATGAATTAAAAAAGAGAAACTTAAGAATTAGACATGATAAATGTTAATTATTTATTTTTTTTAAAAAAAAATCACTTTAGGATTGTTTAAATCAATTCAATTTTATGTTAACCTTTGGACTATGATTTACAACATAAGCAGAAAGACTTTGTATTTAAAAAATTTCCTATTAAATAGAGTATATGATAAAATTTATCTGAATTATTTTATTGGTGCAACCTATCCAGTTTTTTAGTGATTTAGGTTTCACTAAAGATCATAATTTCTTTTAATGTCATATAAACTCTTTTATGAATAAAATTACTCATTCTAGGATAAAAAAAAGGGCAGGGAGCAAAAGTTTAAAAAAAAGGCATTATTATTCTAAAAAGGCAATAATTTCGTTCTATGGGCTCTACACGTTCTATGAAAAAACATTGTCAATCAGTAAAAGAAATTTTTTTTTACTTCACTAAAAGTAGCAAAGCAATCATATTAATTACTAATTTTTATTAATAAATTAACATATATATTGAATTATTGAGCTAATTAGCTAGGTAATTTATTTAAAATGCAAGCATATATTAATTAAATAATAAATTCATGTTTTTAAGTGTCTGTAGTCATGATTTAATAATTAAAATGATTTATAAAAATCATGGTTTAATGATAGTAGAAGCAACTGCAAACTTTCAATGTCAAGTGCAACAAGGGGATGTGATGGCTATTTTTTCTTTCCCTTATAAATCTATGTATTGACTGCAATGACAAATTAAATAAAAAAGAGTTGAAAATAACAAAAGTTTAAGACATCTATTGCAGAGTTTGCAGGGGGAAAAATAAAGAAGGGTTGAGGAAAGAAAGGGCAAAAAGGGTATGGAGATCAGGGCACTAATTTACTTCAGATGCAACAGGGTGCATTCTTTTGACTAAAAGGGCAGCAGGGTGCTCCGCCCTGTTTACCCTGCCTAGAATGAGCTTTGAAATACTGTTATGTTAATTTAAAAAAGTTAAAGATATTTTCCAACTGGAATTTTTATTTTTGCTTGGTGTGTCTACCTTAACATGGTTTAGCACAGGGGTCGGCAACCTGTGGCTCGGTGGCTCTTTTGGTGTAAAGTTGCGGCTCTCCAGTTCCATACGAAAAAATTAATAAATTGTTACCAAAACCCTTAAAAATAAGAAATATTTTAAGTACCTAATTTCCAAGAGCTTTCTATTCTTATAATCGTTAATTTCAAACCGCTACGCTCAGGCCCATCGTTAGTGGGGTGTCTCATTTCAACTCGATTCCGAGTATTTACCCAGAAAAGTGGCAAGTCTGTTTGAGCATGCCATTACCGACACTATGAAAAGGCACAAAAAGGGATGGCGCCCGCGGCTCTGATCTTCTGAAACAGCAGACAAAATACCGGAAATTTCTGTCAACTTGAAAAATCCAGGGTGTTTTAAAAGTATTTAGCTAGAAATACCTTTTTCTCACGTTTTCTCTTACTCTTTCTAAGAATAAAGACAATATCTTTGTCCATGTCGTTAAGAAGGGGAAGGAAAGGGCTCAATGCACTTACAGCTGAGGTTTTCTCTTTATGACTGTCCAGTTTCTTTTCACTCACCCCACCAGTTACTTCACTGACCTGTCTTTAACTGTCCAGTTCCAGTTTACAAGTACATACTTAGTTACTCAAAGTGTATTTTATAAATTAATGATATTATTGAATGTAAGTATAAATTTTTTATGAATATATACTATTTGCAGTCTAATTGTTTAAAGATTAAGGTAAAATTAAATTGCATTAAATATGTTATTTTCCAATTAAATTAATTCCTCAATTATTGCTTCAAATTGTAGGTCATTAGGTTATTGGTTCAAATGTTAGGTTATATCACTCCCCCCCTCCCCACCAGAAAAAAGAGCTATTTCTCTATCCCCATTCAATATTTTAGTCACAGCTCTTATATTAATAATAATGTAAATTATAAAACGAATAATAAAAATGAATAAAATTATTAAATAAAAATGAAAAATAAAAATCTTGCAATAAATAAGAATTAAAAATAATTATTCGCAAATAAAATTACTGAAATTAAATAAATACGCATATAATATTTGAAATGCATCAAAATGAATCATACTTAGATTAAGAATTTTAAAAAAAATGCACGAGTCATAATTGATGTATGATAATTTTTCAGTTTAATGAATAAATACTAATTTAATTTTCATCTACATTTTTTAAAGCCTTTGATGTGTATCACATGTAATTATTGTGTAAAACATGATGTTATGAAAAGACCACCCTTAATATAAATTTTTATAAACATTGACAAAAATAAAGATATAAATCTACTTCAGCGGATGTAGTAAATTAAAATTTAAAAGGGAAAAAGCAAGAATATGAATTTAAAAAATATCTAATACAATATATTGATAATAATCTTTATTATAATAATAACAGGCCTGTTTAATTGCCAGGTGAATGTTAAAGTTTTTAATTTATAAAGTTATTTAATTTGGTAAAAAATTGTTAATCGCCTTTTTACACTCGCCTTCCTCAACAGTAATTTGTTTGTTTTCGATTGATAAAATTCTAACGTGTGACCTCTATCCGTTCTTTTTTGCGTTCACTTGAAATAAAATTTCTTTAAATGCATATTAAGAGTGGTCATTCCGAATCACCTGCATATTATTAAATTACATAATCAAATACATTAATGTTGTAAATTTGCGAATAAAAGATATTTCAAATAATAGAAGATCGTTACTTTCAGTGACTTTTATTAAATTAATTTTAAAAAACAATGTTAAATTATTTGAGTTGGAAAGCTTGAGGCTCTATAAATTTTTTAATTTTTCACAATAAATATAAAAAGTATGTGACCATCATTTCTAGTACTTAATCATAAGTCGATTTAACGTTTGCTTTGACAAAAAAATGTAAAATTTATTTAAATGTTTAATAATTAAGTGCTTAAAATTTTTTTTTTAACAATAACAAGAATAGATGGTACATATTTCTTAAAAAGGAAAATTGTGAAAAAATTCGGATATAATATTAAATGAATATTAACTATATAATATAAATGAATATTATTGCGGAATTGCCATGAAAAATTAAAAAGAATTATTATAAAATCTATCTGATAAGATTGTGTTTCGTTGCACATTCAATAAAAAAAAATCGCGTTTTCTGTTAAAAATTTGACGAGAATTAGTAAGAAAATTTAAAATTTTTATCGAATTTTAGTGACTCAAGTATTCTTATCCCCCCCAAAAGAATTAAAAAATTTAAATTAAATGAAAACTAGAATATTATTTTGTATTCAAAACCGTTTTTTTAATTAAAAATCAAATAAAAATCAAATTAAAAATACATAAAAAAATACTATACTATTAAATCAAAAATTTTTAGTAGCTCTTTAAAAGCGGGAAATTTTGTAAAATTGCAACTTTTGGCTCTTTCATTACAAAAGGTTGCCGACCCCTGGTTTAGCAGGTTTGTGACCCGTAGAGCTATATCGGCAGTAGCTCGGCTACCGACAGGGTTCCCCGAGCCGGGCAGGTCGAGTGAACCAGACAAAGTGAAACACCCTGGTCCTTCAGGTCAGGGGTGAGGCCTAAAACCAACAACCTTATCCTGTAAAAAAATTTACCGTTACGAAATCAAAAGGAAATTATTCTGGACTGCTGCTCCGGAGGAGACTTGGAAAGGATTTTAAGGACGTAAGAATAGGTTCGTGGAACTTACGCTCTCTCTATAGAAGCCTTTGATGCAAAGAATGGATGAATGCAATGTGATGGATTGGGCAAGGAATACAATCACACAACTTTTTACAGTTGTGACCCCAACAAACATGTATTCGGAACAGAAGTCATTGATGACACATTGACTTTCAACCTAAAACACCTAGGTTATGTAAAAGATGGGTTTAGAAAAGTCAGCTTTGGGAAAAGTGCAGAGAATAGACACCCATAACTGTTTCATGGACTTCAAAACTGCATATAAATGTATCAATTGTGAATTCCTTTCAATAGCTTCGCATGAACTGGGTATATCAGAGGAACTTCTGTCTCTGGTGGCTCTTACCCTTAATGAAACAAATCCGTATACAGAATGACCTGACTGAACAATTGGATATGAGGAATGGCTTGTCTCTTATTTAATATTGCCCTAAAAAAAGTTTTAAACACCAAAGGAAATAACCTCAGTAAAATAAACCAACTATTGGCCAATGCAGACGATATCATTATTATGGTCTGGGCTCTTAAACAAGCCGTAATTGTATTAGAACAATAGGCAATGAATTTAAAAAAAGTGAACAAAAAAAGACAGTGCAGTGCAAAGTCTGCAAAGGCAGAAAACAAACAGTGCAAAGCAACTGCAACAAACAGAAAACAAACAACTGCAACAGTGCAAAGACAGAAAACATGCAGTGTTTAAATTCAGATCTCCTAATTAGTCATTCAGAAATTGAGGAACACAAGTTTGGAAAAGTAGATTGCTTCCCCTACAGGAATTCAGCATTATAATGGAAATACTTTGATACTAACACAGTTTTTGATATTTCTAAAAAAAATCAGTATCAGTTGAAATCGGTTTATAAATTTAGAAGTGATTAGATTGTTTGATTTCTCATACATATCGATGATGTTGAGAGATTTTTGAGGGGTTAAGGGAAAGACAATAAATTACAAAAGGAAAAAAAAAAAATTTGAACACTCTATGCCATAAAATGTAGTAATATATTTGGAACCTATAACTACTATTTTGGTTAATATATGCAATAATTACACAAAATTTTGCAAACCTAGCTTCTTTTTTTTGTTGCTAGAACTGAAAATATTCAAAAAAAATTAAACAAAACTTTCAGAGCAATTTAAAATTAGTTACAAAATTATTACTTAAGAATTTGAGAAAAGTTCATTAAATATCTTAATTTTATATTCATCATTGAATATCTTAAAAATTTTAAAAGTTTCAATCCATTTTCNATCTTAAAAATGAAAAAAGTTTCAAGCAATTTTCTAAGTAGTTTTCTTACTCTTTTAAGAAAAAGCTCAAAATTATGAGGGATTTTCCACAAATTTCATTTTGTACTATTAAACAAGATTTATTAACAAATGATAATATCCTTCTAATAATGGTCTGGAGAACAACGTTTGGGTAGTATTGTGGAATAAAACATGCGGGGGAAAAAGATACTTTAATGGGGGATGATCCCCAACAATGCGGGTGTCATTTTTAATAATCTAAGGTGGAAGAAAATTTTTGTTAAGAGTGTACAGTATATCAAAACAAGTGAACATCCGGAATAACTCTAATGATTAAACTCTCATGCTTCAGAAGTCAGAAATTTGAATGACATCAAGAAAAAAGTAACATCAAGAAAATTACATCGGATGAAATTTATTTTAGAGTCTGATATCGTAAGTTAAGATATCGTCTGTACTTAATTAGTATCATTAAAACTGGGCCCCCTCAAATGATCAAGATAAGTTCTAGTATGTAAAAATCATATAATTCGTTCATAAGTTATTCAGGGTATTTCTCTGTTTATTTTGCACATTCTACATTAAACAGGCATGTGACCTGATCGGAACGAAAAATACGCAAATGTCATAGATATGCCGATTTGTCAGTTCACTTAGAGACATCAATGAACAATTTTATAAAAAGATATCAACAGCACTGATCAGAAAAATTTGAATTCAGTTTAAATACTGAAATATCACCAGTCTGATTAAATAGTGACAAAAAAAATTAAAAAAGACTTTTACTTACCCTGGTTCTATCCTACTTCTTCTAAGATCAGAATTTCTTAGAAGCTTTCTTCGTATACTTTCTTTTTTTAATATTAATTGGTGCTTCTCAGTTAAATGAAGTTCCGAATCTTCGTGCAAGGTAGGTAAACACTCAGCTTCTTCAGAAGCAACTCTTTCAGTTTCACCCTCAGATGAAGATCTTAAATGCTGAAGATAAAGGTCAGACTGCAAAAAGGTAGTGTAAGTGGTGTTCGAAATGTCCATCTCCACTTGACGTTGAGCAACATCAAAAATATGGATGTCTATTTCTTTCGACTGTATTTTACGCTTGATTTCTCGTTTCGTATCGTCACCGATTGCAGCTATCCTTTTGACCTTTTTTTCGTAAAGAACGTGCACGAGCTTATTCAACTTTTCGCGGTCCGTGTGCTGAGCAGTCTTTTTAACTCCTCTGCAAGCAAAAATAAAATCTAAAGGCTTAGTGTCTTGATTTTCCATAATCAAATATTTCTGAAAAAGGTCTGTCCCTTGAATATCGTCCAACAAACACTGCAAGCTAACAGTCCATTTTCCAGGATTAGGTGGACTAGGAACAGGAGACAATTCCATAAATTCACACCCTTCATTTTGAAAACTGTTTGTGCCATTGATGTTTTTACTGTCACACTCAGTCACTTCACAGATTTCCATGTTTGGAAAGTCGAGGTACTGTAGGGGAAAGGGCTTTTCAAAGCAAGAATCTTCCTTGCCTATAACGGGTGGTCTTGATTCTTCTGACATTGGCTCTGTAAAGCCATTCATAGCACTCAATTTTTAAGAAAACTATCCATTAATTTAGCCTTTTCACGTGAAGAAAAGGAAATAACTGAAAGATAAAAATAAAATATTTAGTGACATGTTTAAGGTTCTACTTTTGCTTCATCATATACACAGAAAGACACTCCTTCACAGAAATCTACTTTGCACAGAGGTACAAAAAATGAGGTAATTTAAAATAAAATAAAAATTTTAATGGAAAATAATCCTCAAAAATAAAATCTCATAAGAAAGAAGGACTGAGTTGGTAGCCATAAATGATGTTCTCCCAGCCACACATCCTTACAAGGAAACAAATTTCACAAGAGAAAGAATGAAGCCTTGTGTTAAATTTGCTAATTTCTTAATACAAATAAATTTAAATTTATTCACTTTTTAGCTTATTGAATTCCTAAGTTTAAAGAAGAACCTCAAATTGAGTTGCATTACTTAAATACATTTTTTGATTTTTATAACTTTAAACACGTGTGACAGCTTATTCAAGAATTTTGTAAAATCCAAAGAGAATTTTTCTTTCCTTGCTAAAGAAAAAATTATTAAAATAGAAACTTTACAACTTATATTTAAAAAATTATTAAGACCTCTCGTAAAAAGTACCTTGAAATGTTTAATTCAAAAATATTACACATATACATATTCCCCGTGGCAGAATCGCACCGACATTGTCGCAAATTATTTTAGAGTTATTGCAGTATGATTTCTCTTTCGAAAATTAAAAAACATTTACTTTTTTCCTTTCTACAAAAATGGGGGAGATTTCTGTATCGTGATCTGTGGCAGAATAATCGTGAAGTCTTAGAAACTTCCGGGCAGCGGCCCGCGAGAAACTAAAAAAAAAAAACATCATAGAAAGGGTGCAACTCGAAAGGTTGCATCCTTTCATCTACATGTTTTGTTTTTAAAATTTGCAAGTTTAAAATCTATTTGGCATCTTGGCAATTGTAGTTGGTGAGACAGATCACAATACGGAAATATCCTCCAAAAATGTACACGTAATATTTGGATCAAGCATTGAGAATATCACTTTTTGACACGCTCAACTTACTCCGATAGCATCGTAAATCGATGTAATGTTTCGATTATATTTTCGGCAATTATTGATATTCATTTTCAAGTAGATTTTAAATATCCTGATACATTTCAAACAATATGGAAAATTCAAATCAGGCATTTGAGTATTTACTTTTAAATCAATAATTCTATCGATAACGATACTTTTTATACCATATTATTTATTGCAACAACCTAATCTTGAAACGAAACACGCATTTGAGTAGTCCGATTTGCACGATTTCGTCACCAATCTTTAGTTCGGCAATTACTAACTACTACAGATTTCATGATTTAGTTTTTTTTATTGTGATGATTAATTACAAAATGCGAAGAAGGAAATAATTTGTGCACCTCCCTCTCCAACAAAATGAGAGAATATCACCCATAATATCAGAAAACAAGATTATTACATGTTCAATTAAAAAAAATTATATAGTTTTTTTTTGTAAACACAGTATAAATTAGTATCATATATGTTTATTATTATAAGTATTTTGCAGAAAGACATTAGTGCTAAAGAGTTATGTCGCAGGTAGCTAGACAAAATTCTGACACAGGGTACATATTAGTCTCTTAATATTTTTAAGCTACACATATTCTACATTCTACCCATAAGCTACTCTTATACTAAAACCTATTACATTTCTATGAATACAAAAAAAATATTTGAAATGTAATGATGCTTTATAAGGCTAGTCAGAAAACTACACAAGCAATTAAGAAAATTGGATTTACACAATTATAAAAAACTAATCTTAATAACAAAATAGGAGATATAAGAGTAAGGTTATACAAGATCAGCACTAAGCATTCGCTACCTCAGCAAATGCGATAAAATTGTAAATTCTGCATAAAAAATTGTATTTCGAGGACTGATTTTTTCTACCAAAAAAAAGCAGTCGAGCCTCTATTTAACGAAGTCCAAAATCCTGATAAAATGTTTGGTTGTATGGAAAATTCGTTAAATAGAGAATCACCATTTGAAATACTTGCAACACAAAACAGGTTTTAAATTCATAAACACTAGGCATAATTAAAATAACAATTGATAAGCCTTTATTTTGTAAATTATTATCTACCATTTAATTGTTTCAAATGATTTTAACACTTTATGAAATGAAGGTCACTTCATCATTTCTGTCTTTATCTTCCACACAATTTATTACCAAATTGTTTTTATTTTTCAGACTGTCCAAAATATCTAAAATAGTTATGGTTTTTGTGGTTGCAGCTTTAGAATGAATTCAAAAAATCATTAATCAGTACATCATCATTAATTTGATTCTCTCCTAGCTGCACTAAAATTTTTTTTAATTCTTCTAAAGGAATATCATCTTTGTCCTTCGCACTTTTCGGCTTCTTCGTACTGATTAAGATTCCAGCTTTAGCAAAACTGTTATGAACAGTTATGATCTGTAACATCATAGTTCCATGCTTCAAAGGTTTCTGTTATGCTTTCTCGTAAATTGATTTTTGGCATGGATTCCAGTATGAAATGCAAACAAGAAGGGAAAGGGATTTTACTGCTTTCTTTAGAGAATCAATTCAAGGTCATTTCCCCCCCATAAACAAATTTGAAATGTTCTAAAATATTTTGGGAAATAAGGAAAGGGAATCTCAAAGAAAAGTTCATTAAATAGAAAATTCACTTTGCTATTTGGAAGTCATTCTAAGAAATTCTGAAACTGTTCTTGTTGCCTCAAAAAAAATCGGAAAACAGAGAAATTCGCAAAATGGAAGTTCCTTAAATAGAAGTCCAACTGCATATATTCCCCTTGATCCTGGAGGAGAAAAAAAAAGTCTTTTTCATTTGAAAATGGAAACTTATTTGAACAAGCCATGTATTTTTTTTTTATCCAATTACAATAAATAAGTAATTGCAAGATGCACATTATGAACCAACTATTTTTTGCAGAAAATAACAAATTTTTTATAACAATAACATAAAATTGCTTCAGATTTATCCTCATATTACAACTCCAATCTAATAAATTATCAAAAATTAATCTGATCCTGTTCCTATTTCTTTTCTTCAGACTTCATATTTTTCATCCTGTCATTTATTGTTCATATACTTCTCCTCAACTACAAAATGATTCCTGATTTGATTATGCATTTCATAAAATAATTCATTTTATAGTCAACTTGCATTTTAATTTTAAGATTTCTACAGAATTTTGAAAAATATTTTTGATATTTGGCTAATTTACTTCTTAATTCCTCAGCACGGGTCCTCGTTACAAAGGACTACGAAATTTTTAGCAGTTGCCCATGAAAGGCCACATGGTATGTCTCACGTGAGGCAATCTAAATCTATCTAAAAAACATATTACTCCTTAAAATTGACTACGATCTTTACTATTCTAGGGCATTTAAATGTAATAATTATCTAGTATTTAAAATAGCCTTCATTGACTCGTTTGATTATGAAAGCTCTTTATTAATTTCTATGCGATTTACAGTGAAATAATATCTTTCAAAATATAATTTGATTTGAGAAATCTAAGTTAGTAAGGAGAAGTATATTAGCTAAGTACAATAACGAAAAAAAAATGTTTCCTTTTTTCTCTAAAAATAAAAAATAATTTTAATAAAAATATGTATAAGCTGTTTACATTGTGTATTCACCATGTTCAAAATCCCGAAGTTACGGTCGCAAAGAAACTCTTTTCGCTCTTCCAATTCTCAAGACTGATCTTAATCTTTCCTAAAAATTATAAACACCATACACAATTTTATGCATTCTCTGCCCAGCAAGACGTAAACAAACCCAGAATTCGTGCATAAAACAATGCGACTTGATATAAACTGCCTCGGTCGTATATCCATAATGAAATTAGCATCAGTTGGCTACGAATTACCACCCCTTAAATTACATACTACGCGTAGGGTTCTTACTGCTGCTGCTTTTGGCGATAAGAGCCTTACGTATTATGTATTAGTTAGATACAAATTTAATGAATGTGTAGAACATACAGAAAAAAAATTCAAATGAAATGTGTACAAATACAAGCAAATGGTATGCCTCACATATTTTAACACTTACATCTGACACTATCCTTATCGAGATGTAAATAAATCCGAACACATTTATTACGTCTAGCGGGAGATGGAATAAATGTGCACAGTTAAAAAATTGTTTATTCAACACATAGACAAGATTTAGTAACTTAATTTAAAGAAAAAGTATGGGCATTAGGGATCTCATAACAATATGGGAAAGAAAAAATTAATAAAGGGAGGAATTGTTGCATGGAATAAAGGGAGGAAATTATGAACACAAAAAAATAATTTGCCATACTTACAATATTATTGTTTTCCGTTTAAAATGAAACATCTATGACACCCACACCATTAACACTTAAAAGCATTATGAATGCTTATTATTTTATAATTCACAATAATACGTATTCCACGTGTATCTTATAATGCACAAATAGAGCCACAAACACCACTCGCACAATATAGATAAATTAATCCACAACTGTGTATCCAAGAGCAACAATTCCAAACGATAATCCAAAAAGAAATGGAATAGAAGCTTCTTTCTCCAAGGAACAACACTCAACTGTTGCCTCTTTCCAAGGAGGGAAGGGAAATGCAACTGGCAATTTCCCCCTCACTCACACCGATACTCCCCCTTCAGCCTCCCCGCGCCACAGGCATTTTCATGAAAAATGGGATAAGACAGTCAAGGTATTCAGGAAAGATGCCCTTTGTACAAAATACCGACTTTGACAAGCCTTCCAGGAACTTATCTATAGTACTTGTCCATTTCCGGATTAGAAAAATATCATCTAGAACTTACAGTTGTAAAATACAAATCCTGCGGAGAGAAAAACTACATTTCTGGATTATAACTTTTATCAGATTACGAGAAAAAATATTTTATTGACACATGTATTTATTCATAGATTTTTTTCTGAATGGATCAAAAAAAGAGGAAGAATTATTTCATATTAAAAATAATTTTCTAAATTATTTGTTCAGCATTAGAATTTATGAAATGAAAAACTAAACTACCGGAATATAACTAGCTAAATACCAGATTACGACATGAAAAAATATGTATTTATTCATATATTGATAGATTCTCAGAACATAAATAAATGAAGTATTCTGCATTAAAAATAATTTTCTATCTCATTTCAGTAATAGAATTACAATTTGTGAGATAAAAATTAAACTTCCGGATTATAACTCTAAACAGAAAATAATAATGTTTGTTTAGTAATATAATTTCTCTATAAATGCAGAATAATTTTGCATGAAAGATAATTTCCTTGTTCAGAATTTGTTTTATAAAAAAAAAAGCTTTAATACATACTTCAAATATTTTTTTTACTAGACAATGAAATTTTTAATAAATTAAATAAAAGAGCATTTTTTTTTCAATTATTTATTTATTAGAGATTAAGCTACCACCGAAAACACTAAAAATAATTAAGGTTAGTGCTAATTAAAAGGTTACGCTAACTAAAAGGTAAGGCTAGTTAAAAGTTGAAAAAAAAAATTTATTAAAGAAAAGCATAGTGGAAGAACACGTTGAATCTCAAGTACATAAAATTAAGCAAATTAATCTGTCAAAGTCTTTTAAAGAAAGCGGTTTTCTATGTTCAATGTTACATTGTTTTCAACAGGTTGATTTTTGTAAATTTGATAAAATGTTAAACTTCACAAGCTCTTCCATTAAATTCTTCAATAACACTTTGCTGCTAAAAAAGTGTATATTAATTTTATACGTAATAATATTATTTTCGCAAATTCGGTAAAATGTTACGCTTTACACTATTATTTTATTACACTAGCATTATTTGGGGGAGAAGAGTTCACTCATTAATTATGCAGGGGTGATTGTGGGTCCAACTCAAAAATCCTGAAAATTTCTTGAGTATAATCCTTCAAAAAATTAATATCTTTATAAATTTAAATTATTTAAATTTTCAAAACATGATATTCTAAATGAATTATATGTAGCATAATTTAAATGAATGATTAAATGAATGAATTATATGTAAGCTTACTTTTATCTCTAATCACATTTATTATTCTACCAGGAAAAATATTTACAAATGAAAGAGATGCCAAGTATAAATTCTAGTTCTAATATTATTAAATAAAATATACAGAATTTTTATACAGAAATGTGATCGATGATTTCTTGAAACTTCTGGACTTTGGATTTCCGGAAACTTTCGGATCGCGGTTAGCGAAAAATCCGGACTTTTTTCCGGAGCACAATCGTCGCTGATTATTTGTTAATATTTCTTTAAAACACGCTACTTCTGTAGAAAATAAATCAGGTTCCTTTTTTTTTCAAATAAAAAACTTTTTTTTTGGGGGGGGGGGGAATTGAAGAAGNTGGGGGGGGAAAGATTACTCAAAATTTTCATAGCTGCAATACCAGTTGTAGGAAGTTCTTAGTTTTACAATGAAAAGTTAGCAATCCAACTTGATAAAAATTACAAAAGAAACAAGATTATAAAAAGCATGCATGAGTAAAAACTAAACCAATTTTATTCATTCTTCGCCGAAGTATATCTTTCCCCTAAAAGAAAACAAAGTACGATAGTTTTTCGTTTTTTTTTGTTTTTGTTTTTTTTGCCGCTTTTACAATAAGAGGTCTTCTACTTAAAGAAACAGATTTCATTTCTCCGATAAGTGGATCGGAAAAAATCAGTTGTCCTTTTGAAGAAATTATTTCCATTCTCTGGTTTATCTTGTATATTGATGGATGACGCAAAACTTGTCACCTTTTTAGAGTGTCCAAAGTCATCTAAGATTTTCTTTACTCGATGATATATCAAACTTCATATCAAATATATACTTCATATCAAACACACAAAAAAATCTCATAAAAATTAAACTTGAAAAATAAAATGAAATAAAGATTATATGATAAAATGATATAAGATTTTTCACAAACTTATTTCTAAAATATCAATCCTCCTAATTCATGACTGTTTTAAAAAAGTGGCATTTTTTATTTGTATTTCATTCGTTATACACAGATTTGGTCTTACAGATATAGTTCAAATTTCAATACTATTTTATTTTTTAATGTAAAAAATAAAGAAATAAACCGGAAAAATAATAAAAATCAGCCTTTAAATTTTGTTTCGATTTAAAAAGTTGAAAATACATAAAAATTCAGAACGTCATGCATAGAGCTTATTTATGAAACAAATTTAAAATAGGTATGAGACTTCAAATACTTTTCAAGTATATTCAAAAATTTAATTTAAAAAAAAAATTTGATTTTTTTTTTCATATTTATTGAGCGATATTTTCGTTAACAGCATAGAAAAGTTAAAAATTATTACAATTTCAAAACAGTTACATGACGTTTTACATTACATAAGAATCTTCGCAAATCAGCTTAAAATTCCTATTTTAAACTTTTGGAAACCTTTATTCGATATATTGAACGAAAAAAAATATTTATAGTTATACATCACTTTTTATCTATAAAAAAAAATCACAGGATTGAATAATTTTTCGTTAACCCTAAAAACATGAAACCATTACTATCACTCACAAAAAATACAAATTTTGTGCCCTTTTCAAGATTGGCATTATTACTGACTGTGCCGTTTTATTACTGACATCATCCATTACTGCTAGCTAATGGACAATACCTAACAGCTAAAAATAACTTCTACAGTTTTAAAACGATTTAGTCATGCGTTATTTTTTATGACATTTTATGAAACATCTTAAAATTTTAAAATATTCAATCTCTCATTTATTAAAAACAAAATATTTTCGGAAAAAAAAACACTTTCACTCTTATGTTAAAAAGAAAAAAAAGAAAAAAACACGATTGAATAAGTTTTATAACACATCTAAAGTAAAACTACCCATGGTTTTAACTTATGCACACAAAATAAAAATTTCGAAATATATATATATATATATAATGGAATTGAAANTATATATATATATATTGCGCTATTAGAGAGCACTGGCTAATAATTGGACATAACTGAACCTAACAGTTCTACCTACGGTTTCACCACAATTATAAATAAGATATTCCCTAAATTGCTTGCTTTCGTAAGTCTTCGAAAAACATTATTCAAAATTTTTATAACGTTAAAAACTCTTAATCGTTCATTTGCAGCAAAGTATATTATTGAACTAGAAAGAAAAAAGATCGCTACATCAGTTAGAAACACGATTCAAGAGGTTTTCTAACAGATACGAAAGCACTTTTGATTTCAACCCGTCCATCTCAAATCAACGTATATTGAAAAACTTTTCAAATAAATAAAATTCTCACTAAACGACCCGTGGAACAAGACGGTTCTTTTTCAACTTTTATTAGTCAGAATATGTTGGGGCGAATGACAAGAGGAAAAAGTTTTTCGGCCATTTGAGTTGATCTATCCTGTCAGAGGAACGCATCAGACAATGGGTCAAAGAGATATGCCGCCCGCAGCTGCAAAGAAACCCCCTCCCCCCTACCTTCCACTGGCCCACGGAGTTGTGAAAAGAAGTTGGGTGGGGGTCTCTTAGTGCCGACAAAGGGATACCGGTTGGGAAACGATAAGAGCCTTCCCGGCAGTCAACTGGAGCCTTCTTAGGCGGGGTAGAGGCTGGGGTGTCCCACCAAAAGATTTTCAACGCCCCACCTCGCACAGCTTGTAGCTGGACAATTCTGAGAAAGAATTAATTATGTCAACAAACCAACGTGCTCTCAAAGCGGTCGAATGATATGCACTTCCATTAACTTACTAATTAACTTGATAATTAACAAATAAACTGCACTAAAAAATTGAATTTTATCACTTTCAATTAAAAGGAAATATATTTGAAGGGATTGGGGCAAAACGGGTAAACCACTTTTTCTTTCCTATCGCGACAGTTTTACTAACAGTATTGTTTTCAGAAAAATACTTTATGTTTCCGGATTCTTAACTCACTAAATAATTGTAGAATACATAGGAAATCGTAGTGTTTTCCACCCGAACCATTCTTCTGGACACTATAAAGTTTTAGCTTATCATTCCATTGCCCTGCCATTTCGAATTGTGTCATGCGAATTGAAAAAAGAATTTTCTATTCGGCCTGCTTTTTTCAAAGCTTATAAGAATCAGCCCATTTAAAGGAGTTGAAGATTGATTCCATTAGCCTAAATGAGTGAAGGCTTAATGCAATGTGTCGGTGTTTTAAATAGAGAACCACACTAAATGTAAAAAAAAAAAACTCTTAAATACCAGGTCGGTTGAATGCAATGAACCAAAATAAGATAAAACATAGCTGCCAACATAGATAGGAAAAAATGCAGTAGATTTTACAAAATATAAATTTCATAATAATTGTTGCGTTATGTACTAAATATTTTACACACAAGGAATTTTAGGGATTTTTATAGTCCTCAAAATAGTTTTCTCAGAGTTCTGAAAAAAAATAAACAGAATATTTCAGAACAAAAATAATTTTTAACTTATTTATAGAAATGAGGCTCGCTTCATTATATATTTGTAATACTTATTTATGCATTCAAGCAAACAATCATATGTGCAAAAAAATTCTAGTTTAAAAGGGACTTTTGTTTTAAGAAACTTACACCATTTTAGGGAATTTTCTGAAATGCACAAAAGCCAGGAGAATTTTT